TTCGACATCCAAAAAAGAAAAGAATCGGCCCAGAATTACTTGCGTTTAAGGCCCGCTCCTCCACGAACCCGCGAAAAGGTGCACACCCGGTTCCGGGCCCAATAAGGATGAGGGGGAGTGAGGGGTGTGGGGCAGGGAGTGAGCCTTTGTGAAACCATGCTGGTATGCAGACTCCTGTTTAAAAAAATGAGCAAAAACAGTAAGGTGGTGTTTGGTATGATGGAATCGAGAAAGGAATGGAATGGAATTGTTGATTCCATACTTTGATGAGGATGAAGTGAAGCTAGCCAGTTGGAGCATAAACCGATGCGTTTCCTCTTAAAAGGAGTTGTCCATGAAACTATGCTGACTGTGAGGTGTACTTGATTCGGGTGAACATTAGGAGAAGAAGAAATTGAAAAAGCTCGTGTTTTCAATGGAGGAGTCAGCTGCACCAACCACTCAAATGGCATATCTACAGATGGGAAATCCTCGAGTACCTGTAAAAAAAAAAAGACCATATTGCCCTTCCTTCCTTCACCACCAAATAAAATAAATGCGAAAACTTTCTTTTTGGCAAAATAAAATTCAAAATATATATATACCTCTAAAACAGTCCTTCGTTCTTTCTGGTTGTATTGGTAGAGATCATCTCTTCCTTCTGGTGAGGCGAAATATTCAAGCCTCTCTTTTTCATGTTCAGCACTCGCAAAAAAACTCATGACCTACACGATATTGGAATGGAATGACTTATTACATTCCGTTTTCACGTTTGTTGGCGTGTAGGAATGGAATAGGTTTTCATAAGAAATAATTGGATGCTAAATCATGAAATATCACATACACCCTTGTTTGATTATAATTAATGAACTTGTTATTAATTAGCATATAAAAACACCAAAAAAATTGTTCAGACATTTTACCTCAAAAAAGTAACGTCTGGGTGAAGCTGATGCAATATCCATAGTCAACTCGACAAATGTTTTTAGTTTTATGGGATCTTTTGAGGCACCAACACCATCTTCAAGAGAGTCTTCTTTATTTCTAGACTTAACCTGAAATTTAATGTTTAGATTATATGCTATAAATGGATTTTACAACTATTTAAACAACATTACTCACAATGATACAGGATTCAGGGTTTAAATTACAGCGAGTCATGAATGCATCGATTGCTTCAGGGCTTTGTGAAGGAAGAATCTCAAGGACATCACCAACTTCATACTCGATAGTCTGAATAAAGCAAATTAGAAGCAATTTTATTAAGAGGGTTTCTTTTTATGTAAACTGTTATATATCATTAACCAAAAAAACAACTAATACATATAAGCTTTGATAATACTTACAGATGAAAGTGGCTCAAATTCCAAATGGCGTACATCTTTGTCATAACTTGTTCTAGTAATTGGTTGGTTTTTAACCTAAATCAAACAATCGTACAAATTATAAATTAACAAAAGAAGAATATAAAAAATACCAGGAAATTTCATCACTACCAGTTTCAAGAAGCAATCAGGTTTACTCTTGTCATTTGACTTTTTTGCAGACAACATTGACCGACACCTCACTATATCCTTCTCAAGTAACTTCAAATCTGTTACAAAAAAATAAGTTACAGTAAATAAAATCTGAACTTTGAAGGTTGAAAAAATAGTGAAATTTGAAAATAAACAAGGCTATATACCAATTTGTGCTGAAGGTTGTGAATGCACTGCATTCGAGTCAAGATATGTGATTTCCACTTTTGGTTGACCAAGCATCTTCATATCAGACACAGAAATATTTAAACCTTTTGGGAAGAATTTTGGATTTTTATTATATAACATGGTCCATAAAGATGACATCCATGGATCTAAGGACCCTTCATATCTGCATAAGAAAATCATAGCAACTTTTTTTAGTTTACCTATTATATATAATACAGAAAGATTATGCAACAAAGTTGTATAATACTGGAAATGACAAAGATACCCTGAAGGATGTTGATCATCTCCCAAACCTCTTTCAAGAATTGTAGTTCCCCCGAGATCTGTAAGTCTTTTGTCAAGCTTCTTTGCAACAAACTGAAATCACATGACAGATTTAAGTTATTACACAAATGTAATCTATAAGGATTACATACATGATAACTAATTCAACTTACATTGTATTTCTGATAACCAGAGTCTCCCAATCCAAAGACCGTGTAGTTTGTTTTTTCAAGCCACTGCCGGTTTAAACTTCTTTGCAAAAGAAATGTCCAAAACGCCTAAATTTGGGTAAGAATTAGAAAGAAGAAATAATAACAGATGCAAAGTTTGAAAGTTAAAGCAGTGATAAAGAACCAACCTTCATGGAATTGGGGGTGTCCCCTTGTCCAGTTGTGGACACCACAAAAATTACATATTCTTCACAGGGTAAGGAGCTCTGGTATAAGCAACAAGTAACATGCATAGCAGAAACACATAACAAATTGATTAGGAAATTGTTTGCGTAAACAAAATAGAGAAACCAAATAATCATTGGAAAGTGTAGCAAGGGGGCGTGTAATTGCATAAAGTTCACTTACGGGGTCAAATTCGTCGAGGGATAACATACGAATAGGGCAGCCTCTTTTTTCAGCTTCACGGCCTAATCGTTCGGCAGCATCTAACGCGTTGCCCGTCTCAGTGGCGTATAGAATCAACAGTGATCGAGATTTCGCCATTGCTATAAGAATTCAGAACTGTTGTATTATAGTAGTCTTAAGCTGAGATTGAAACAGTATAGCACACGCCGGAAACGGCGTCGGATATTGCTCTTTCAATGTGTGCTTCGCGGGCCAGGGAAAAATTAGCAAGGTTTTTAGCGGATTTCGTCTGCCAGAAAAAATTCTGGAGGCGTTTGGTTCACCAAAATCTTGTTAGAGAAAGAAAATAGATCGGGAGGCTCTGTTCATTTACTTTAGAGGGTTGAAGACAGCGTTGGTCGAAGATCGAAGGAGGACGGCGCTAGTGACAAAGAGATCGGAAGGTTCTTTGTTCTGCTAAAAGCTCTGGTCGGAGATGCGAAGAGAACGGCGCCAGTCGGAGAAGGCAGAGGACGGCAACAGGAGTTGTTACGGCTTTTTCTCTGTTGAAAACTCCGGTCACGAGAAAAGAGAAGAGAGGGCAGTGAAGGAAAACGAAGGAAATAGAAGGGTTGAGAGGGAGTGTAAACGCTGAATTGTTCAAAGGTTTTTATGGCCCCTCTGATTCGGCCAGAGGTAGAATGTTGGTGTTCCAAGGAGCCACCATGTTATAATGTTCGATTTTGTTAGGCATAGGAATCGTGTCGTGTTTGTGTTGACGTGTTGTGGGTTAGAGGATCAAAATACATTAATCCGAACACGATCTATTTAACTATATAGGTCACGGGTTGGCGGGTATGGAACATAAACTCATATACAACCCGCCAACCTACTTATTTATACGGGTTCATAAGTTGGAGGTTTGTGGGTTAGATTTGAATTCGTGGGTTTGTGGGCCAAATTCTATAAACAGTTCAAAGTTTTTAAGTTTCAATGGTTGCTTCGATTATGTAGTAATGACAAACAGGTGTGGAAGGGAAGTTGACAATGATGGGATTAAGATGGATTTAAGATAATCCCCTATGATTATCAAGATGGAGGTCCAAGAATTTATGGAGAGGTCCGAGAATTTTAAGCTTCGATGGTTGCTTCTAGGGGTGCAAACGAGTCAAGCTACTCACGAGCTACTCGAGATCGGATTGTTAAAAGCTCGACTCGAAACTGATTTTAGACGAGCTCAAGCCGAGCTCGAGCTTAATATTAAGCTTGTTTATTAAACGAGCTCGAGCTCAAGCCTATGTCACAAAGCTCGATTAGGCTCGCAAGCCTAAACGAGCCTTTATATCATATTATTTATTATTATTTATATATATTAAAAATAAAAACATAGTAGGGGAATTATGAATTTTGGTAAATAGTACACGAGCTTTTTAACGAGCTCGAGCTGAGCTTAAGCTTATTTAGGCACGCCCGATAAAAACGAGTCGAGCCCGAGCCTGAGCCGAGCTTGTATAACTCTTTACGAGCTCGAGCCGAGCTCAGTATAAGAAAGCTCGAATCGAGCCGAGCTCGAGCTCGAGCCTCATATAACTTAAACGAGCCCGAGCCGAGCCTGACCAGGCTCGGGCTCGGCTCAGCTCGGCTCGTTTGCACCTCAATTTTGCAGAAATAAAGAACGAACATAGATGGGAAGATGACAATGGGGTTTAAGAGTATCCATTGTGATTATCAAGATTGTGGTTTAAAAATTTATAAGGTGGCTAGATTTTTAAGCTTCAGTGGTTGTAGCGAATATTTAAAAAACGAAGAATGGACATGGAAGACAAGACGACCAGGGGAGGGGGGTTAAGAATTATTTAACTATTAAGATTAAGATCCAAGAATTTACGGGGTGATCCAAGATTTTTAAGCTTCGACGGTTGTTTCGATTTTACAAAAATAAAGAACCGGCATTTTACAAAAAAAAAAAATGGAGGTTTTAAAGCATCGATTGTGATATTCAAGATTAAGGTGCAATAACTTATGGAGTGGCGGAAGTGAGCACCACCCCTCCGAGGACATGATGGAGCAGAATTGTTGATGTGGCGTCTCTTTACACTAAGAGGTGTCGCCTCCATAAAATAGTCTTATATGTCATCAAAATTTATATGGTGAATAAATACATAAAGCAGCCGGATCCATTTATAAATGCTCAAGAGTTAGGGAGTGCAACTTTAGTTCTTTACTACCCCTCTCAATCCACATGCCACATAGACGCCACATCAACATTTCTTTCTCTTTGTACTTCTAACATTCTCATCCCTAAAAACTTGGAAATACATCTCTCTCAACCCACAAACCTTGGTATAACTTTTATGCATCTATCACAACAAGAGAGATAGATAGAGAGAGAGAGAGAAGGGAGAGAGCAGCGAGTTAGGAAAACCGTCCAACCCACACAAATACGGTACCGATTAGCCAGCCGGTCATACCCACCCCCTACCCGTACGACTATGTGCATCCTTAGGCTGGAGGGAGTCCATCCCTCCTAACCTAAATATGTGTTTGGTTGGTTGGAATGGAATTTAATATGGGGGAAAAAGTATCCAATTTCACCACATTTCAATGTTTTCAACTTTGCATGACGGAATTAAAATCCTAAATGAAAAAACCTTTCATCAAATAGGGAAAAACACTTTCCTTCCAGAAGATGATGAAATTAATTCTATGCTATGAAAGAAACTAGCATTTTACCTTATTACTTTTGTTATATTTCACAACATAACTCTATTATTGTTTCTATGTTGCAACTAACACATATGTTCTCCATACATCATGACACAATCAACCATCATCTCCTCTATTCCACACCGGACACCTTATCCTCGTTTCAACGGTTCCTCCGATGAAGTTTAAATCACATCTGTTCTCCATATCTCACGATGCAATTAGCCCTCATTTTCTATGTTCCACACGGAGGAACATGGTTTTACACATTGTTGTAGTCATCTTGTTAGTGATCAAAAACCATATAGATAAACAGACATATTAAGTGTATTTATTCAAATGTAGATCCATACCTAATACCAAATGAAATAGTTTATGAGAATGACACAATGTTTATATCACAAAGGATGTCTAGAACATGTTTTAAAAAGTTATGACATATTCTTGAAACATTTAGAGGCCTAAAATGAACAAGGAATATAGATATCGATAAACAAGTGGTCGTGTTTCTACATGTACGTGCTCATAATGTTGCTCGCTCGTAGTTATGTTGGAAAATTGTTGCTTGCTTATCATTGTGTTGGAAAAATTGTTGCTTGCTTATGTTTATGTTGGAAAAATTGTTCCATTTCTAAAATTAATAGTGATACTTATCTATTGGTTTTTGTTATGTTTATAGGTATGATTTTTTGTTATGTTTATAGGTACGACAAATCAAATTAGAACTTATAAGACATGGACAAATAACGAAGAAGCAAAACTAGTTGAAGTGTTGGTGAATATGACAAACGTTGGATTTAAAACCGGTAATGGTTTTACATCAAGTTATTTACAACACATTGAGCAAACATTGAAACAATCACTTCCTTAGGTAAGCCACGTATTGAGTCAAAGATAAAAACCATGGAAAGAGATTAACAATGTTTTAGATGTTAATTTGTATTTTGGATTTTTAAGTTTTTTTGGGATATTTATTAGGATGTTGATTGGCATTTTGGATTTGTAAGCTTTTTGTATCTTCGATTCGATTGGGATGTATCGAAAGATTGTTTTGCTTTTTGATAACATTATTGGGATGTGAAGTGGAATGACTTTAAGTTATGATGTTTATTAACATGACTTTCGTAATATATTGACATATAAGTTAGAAAACAAAGTAAATTTAAGCAAAGTAGATAAAAAAAAAATGACTTCATTTCCTACGAACCAAACGACATGAAATTGGATTCAAATTTCATTTTCTATCAACCAAATAGGATATGAAATTGATTCTTTTTCCGATTCCAATTCTTTCATAAACATTTTGCGAACCAAACAGCATCTTATTTCTCCTGACACTTCCATCTTTCTAAAACCACACATTTTAGTACAAGCTTTAATGCATATCGTAAAAGTGGAGAAAAGAGAGGAGTGTGGGGGTCGAGCTAGCCAAACCCGCTCAACCCACCAAAACCAAACCGTGGTCCCTGCCACCACGTGGTGGTGTTGGTAACCAAATCCGTGAATATATAGAAAAAAGGTTTATGGATGGTGGGATAAATTCATAACAAAATCAGCTATGCTTGGTAACCAAATATGTAATTTACTCGTATGTGGAAGTGGACTCCTATGAAGACAACAGAACCATCACCCACATCTTATATTAACGGATTAACCTCATACAAATGATCGAGACCGATAAAATGAACATATAAATGACCAAAATGAATAGGTAAAACATTTCTCTAGGTATTGTATTTCATCAAAAAAAAAAGGGGGTAACAGAAAGAAAAAGCAGTTTATTGAATTAAGAAACAGGAGTAGATGCCAATAAACCAAGAAAAACACACACACAACTTAAATGGCAATCACCTCTATCAACCTGCAACAGGTCGCCACAATCTGCAACATATCTAAAGGATTCACAAGAACTTACTGTATATCACCACCACTCTGCTGCCACAAGTTAATGATATCAGTAGCTTGATTAAGAAGAATAATCACCTGCTTTTGAGAAATCCATGGCTTACTCTCGAGCATCACTTTAAGCTCTTCCCAAGCATCTTTCCTTGGCCAAAAATAGTAAGGACTTACTGGAATACTCCCGTGTCCTGGAATCACTTGGTCTAGTGCTAAACCGATGTTTTTCTCCATCCAGATGAACTTCAACACTAACCTTGGTTTCTCCATCGGCTTCACCACCACTCCCAGCTTCTACAATTTCACCCAATTCAATTCAAAAAAGTATCAATAAGCCTGATTTTGTCTTTTTTTAATACAATTTTTAGGTTTCATATTCGAGTTATTGACTTTTTGAATAAAATTATAGTAACAAACATCATATCGATTTGCATTTCGTAAAGTAGTAGGTTTGAAACAGATAGGTTTTACGTAATTTTTTTCTCCCAGTGGAGCCCTAATTTGCAGACAATTAAGGAACACAGCATTAGATATAATTAAAGAGATATATATAGAGATGAACTAAAACCTCAGATTCTAGGGGCGTTTCTGTTGCAATTGTTTCCGCTGCCGCCGCTATAGCAGGAGCGCGGTTCCGAAATGTTGTGGAACCATGGATAAGTTTAGGGTGAGCAGAGAGCTTGGGTAGGTTGAAATTAAAGGTGTGGGGGTTGGAAGGGAGTGAGTCACCATGGAAACTTGTTGGAGTAGAGGGTTTGTAAGAGCAACTGCATATCATCCCTAATGACGATAACATCCTGATGAGATGTTGGAGACGAAGAGAATGGGTAAGAAAATAATGGTTTACGGATAAAAAGGCTTCCTTTTTTTCTTTCTTCTAATTGTTTATTTATTATAAAATTTTGAAATAATACACTAAGACATATACAAAAATATATCAATATACTTTGCTTTGTTAAGCCATTTAATCATACATATGTTTTTTTTTTTGGAAAACTGAGTAATGTAATCCTTCTTATAAACTATCATTTTAACAAAAATAACCAACATTTTTTTTTTTTGATAAAATTACCACTTGCTCTGGAACATAGCATTACGGAGTTGTGGTCTCCATTTCAGAGTACATATTTTGGAGTTCCTATACTGGATTATAACCTCGTTTTTTTCGTCTCCTTTACATATGTACACACACGCCCATATGTGCTTTGAACTTTACTTTCAACCAAATAATTTGTAATTATCTTTTATAAAACTGCTTCAAATGAGTTTCTTAGAGAGTTAGCACGAAAAAAGTTTTAACAACCTGTCTGTTTATATTCATAACCTTAGGCAAACTAACATGCATACTTACACTTACATCAAAATTGATTTGATGGATCGTTTCGAAGCTTGTTTTGTGGCTATTGGATAGGTGGTATATTTGTTTTCTGTACTTTTTCTATTGTTTCTTTAAGATTGATAATGTTTCTACATCTAAATTAAGTTGTTTTTGTTCCCAAAAAAGACAACTCTATGCATTCATAGGCTGCTTTTTGCATGTGATCTTCATAGGCAGTGTCCCTCTTAGAGGGGACTACCTAAAAACAATGTTTGCAGCGGTTGTTATCGATAGGAACAATCAGACCCTCTCTATAACATTTGGTCTGGCCGTGAAGAATAATCTTTATTGTTGTACCTAGTTCCTTATGAGATTAAGAGAAGCTATGAGACAGGGTAGGGAAGTACTGTTCATAACAAATAAGACGATGTTGTTAGTTCTTGCGTAGAGCATGTATTCCCTGATTATTATAATGGGTATACTTCTAAAAGTGTGTTCAAGTATATGCGCAAAAGAGACGTCTCTGGTAAAACATTACAACCTTTGTTCCGGATGACATCGAACTCATATATTATGTCTGATTTTGAAGAAAACTTTGTCGGATGACCCCTGATGCTCGTGAAGTGCTTGCCAGCATTGGTCATGTGAAATGGGCAAGAGCCTATTTCCTAACATTCGTTGGAATGTAGTCAACATTGATGTTCCCTACCTTTTTTGTGTTATCTGTAAATCAACGCAATGTACTAATAATAATGCTTAGCGAGGCAATTTGTGACTACATTCAACAGACTTTCGATGAACGCAGATTAATGATAAGTAAAATACCCAGAAAATTATTAAATTTATTTAATTACTTGTATAGGAACCTTATTTGATCATATTTACTTTTCAACTAGTTTGACTACCGTACTCACCCCGTATGTTGAAATGGTGCTTCATATAAGGATCCAAAAGTTTTTTCGGTAACAAGCAACTAATATCCCGCCAGACATCCCGTCTCCACTCCCGCCCGAAATTATCGAGTTTTTGATTAAAAAAAATTGTGTTGTTGATCTGAAGCGTCATACATGTTCATGTGGGAAATGACACAGTCTGGGTATAGCGTGCAGTCATGCTATTGCGGCATCACATCATTCAAACATCCATGAATTACCTGATATTGTTCAGATATATTACCAGACTAATGTGTTTCAGACTGCCTACCAGACACAAATTATGCACCCTATTCCCCCTCCATCAGAATGGGAAATACCAGACCTTTGATTGCAGTTTTACTGCCAATGTAATTGCAATTAATTAAGCTTGTAATTTATTTGCAGCGTGTAATGAAAAACATTATTATTTCCCTAATATTTGTTACATGTTACAAAGATAGAAAAACATAATTTACAAGTACCATAAAAATACTAACAAACAAGTGTGTGTAATGGGATTTTCAATATTATCATTCGTTGTTTCGCACGTTCATAATCACGAATCATTTTAAATGTAGTTATATCAACAAGACGGTGTTGTTTGTCTTCAAAACGTGGTATAACATAGTCTATAAGCAACTCATCATCATCATTCGAATCACTCGATGTTGGAGACTGAAAAAGAATATACATAAATTATATTAATATTCTATTTAAAAACCAATATGCATACAAGTATTTAACAATTAAAAAAACACTTCCTGAAACATATTAAAAAAAAACATATTGCAACTAATCTATCATAATATGTTTGTCTGTACTTGCTCCAGTCTCTTCTTCTGGAGTCCTATTTGCTTTCAATTTAAGTTTTAACACCATTTCTGGTTTTTTCTTAATTTTATGGGTGCCTTTGTTAGTTTATTTTTTATCTTATTTTGAAACTCAACATCTTTATTTTTAATTTGTAAAAACAAAATTCCAATAACATTTTAATACATTAACGTAAAAATAAATTATAATTATAAAATTATTGTTTTTTGATTTTATCTTTAGCGGACACAATTCTGAAAGCTCTTGTAACTGGATTACAACTTATTTGTCCGTGAAACCCATTTTTTTTAACAACATCCACGCTAACTCGTCTTTGGACTAACATGAGTTATTAAACAATACTTAGAATATATATATATATATATATATATATATATATATATATATATATATATATATATATTATTCCGGATCATCATGTCGAAAAATATCATCGGGTTCCAGAGCATGTTCATAGTGTTCCGGACCTACATTACCATTCTGGAACCCTACAATACCTAATTTCGGACTAAAACAATCGATTGGAAGCACATTACAAAGTACTTACATAACATTCATACATGTACAACGAGGAAAAGATTCAAATAATAATAATAATAATAATAATAATAATAATAATAATAATAATAAGGATAATTTGGATATTATGGAGTTATTCCTTGTATTCCAGACCATTCTGGACAATTAAAGAATATGTAAATCGTTTCAGAAAATCAAATTCAAAGTAACTTAAAGTGTAGAACGTACTTGGTTTGACGCATCCGTGCTCAAAATTTGATCCGAAATGCAGGTAGATTCGTGCTTCGGATCTGCTAATTCAGAAACGTGTATTCCGGATTTTTTTTGTGTAGGACCTATACACACACACCATTGGGCTATAGTATTGAGCTTGAGCCGGTTTGCAGGTTCGGAATGACCCATTCCGGATCAAAAGGTTAGTTTAAAAAAAACTTTGTAATATTCCAGGTTCTAAATAACGTGAGGCATGTGTTTGACAGCAATGTCAAATTTAAGTCATGGAAAAGCTTTGGCGAGCCATGACATTTTTTAAGGTGTGACTATTTTATATAAATTAAAAAAGATAAATCATATAATTATTGAATTTTATCAAATATATCAAGTTTTTAGAAGTGTTATATTAATATTTAGTATCAAAAAGTTAACAAAAACTCGATTATTTTAAGGCCGATCAGGAAAAAAAAAAAAAAAAAAACACGCCATAACACGATAAGGCAAATCATGACACGTTATTTGGACATCACGCTTAACAAAACCGCTTTGAACATTTTCGTAACGGCTAGGTCACGAAGAGCTTAGACAGCAAGCAAGCGAGAAGGAATCCCTCAAAGGCACTGAGGCAAGGTCTTTCCGATGCGCGCTAAGACAACCACTCATGTCTACTTCTAATGCGCACGAACCAGAGCTCTCTCCCGGGAACCCCTTCCCTAGTAAAGAGGTACTGGCGCTGTGACGTGCTTTCTAAACCATGGTTATATTTTAAAAAATCCCGAAAAAATTGTTAGATTACTCGATTTCTATTTTTTCTTAACAAAATCATAGTAAATTTAGACATCTTTTTAAAGCAAACATCCTAACGACAAACCAACAAATGCAAAAGAATACAAAAACAAATAAAAGGGTAGAGATTTTTTACACAATAATTTTTAGTCGTACATAACAATTTATGCATTAGATTATTGTACTATAAAATTCCATAAAATATAAATTATTGTGTACAAATCATCCCCTCAAGTAAAATGTTACAAATGGAAATTTAAACGGTCCGTAACATGATCAACCCAGAATATCAACTAAATCAGCCATAATTAGAGATAACAAATTTTAGCATAAAAACCCTAAAATTATCTAGGCTACTTAAAATCAACTATTACCAATAAAAGTTGGATACAAGTTTAGAACATAACTATGTAATAACATGTATACTATAGGGTTGACTAAAATAAAACAAAATTGAAACTTTTAAACAAATTGCTTAGTAGTATCTTTTGAAGTAGGTACAAAAAGAATAATTTTTTTTTCATAAAACTTCATATTCTACAGCCAAAATGTACAATAATAATAATAATAATAATAATAATAAATAAATAAATAAATAAATAAATAAATAAATAAATTCATATTTGATAAATGAATAGTGAACATGTTTCAACGAATTCACATTGTTTTAATAATCAAATAGTGATAGAACATGTGCACACAGCCTAAGTGGTAGTTCATGCGCTTGCGGTAGTTCGCGTTGCTTTAGAAATCCACATGACGGTTAATTTGATTTCAGTGATTAGTTTTCTTTAGAAGGGAGGTTGATGAACAATTACTTTTCATTGATTAGTCTTCTTCTGGAAACATGTAATATGACAAAAATGTCAACCATCTAACTTAAAAGAAATCAAAGGCAAAATCTAAGAAATGGAATATGTGAGTGTTGAATGGATGGTATTTGTTAGAAGTTTCAATATAATATTAATATTTTTGATGAAAATACATTATCCTTTTTACTTAAAGTGTATATAATGTTATATAGATCAATTTATTGAGTGATGTCATCCAGAAAATCACCATGGAGTCAATCGAGTCCGAATCTCGGATATATGTTTTGATGCCATTAGCGAACCCTAATGTGATTCTTGTCACACTCCTAAACGAGAATCGTTAGAGTCGCCCCAGGACTTGCATCCCAGGAGCGGCCTCCGACAATCAAGTTAGTATTGATACAAAATGTGGGTCGGGTCCTTCGAGTAGAAGGAATCCAATTCTATGTATGACGTGTGTCTAGAGAGATTTTAGAGTTTATCTTTGGAAGTGTCTTGAGAGGTATATATAGTGTCTGAAGTATCTTTCTTTCTACCTTGGAGAGTAAGGGGTCGTTTGATAGTTGCTGATTGAGTTAGAGTTGATTAA